TGCAGCCCAGCTGTGCTGCCACCCACCCCCCACCTCCACAGCCCAGCTGAGCCATATGCTGGCTCCCAGTCCCTCCCCCTGCAGTCCAGCTAGGCCATATGCTCCCCACTCTGCCTAGCGCTGGTCTCCCAGCCCCCCTCACTCCTGCAGTGCACCAGGACTCTCTGATCCTAGAACATCTATGGTACTTTCAGATCACAGATGTTGCCGGACCAGAGAGTTCCAGTTTATAGAGGTGCAACCTGGATTTATGAAGAAAATTTATATTTTCACAATAAACAGCTGTGATTAACGCATATGGTGAGAATATATTTCTGCACGCTTTCTCCCACTTTATACTAGAAAGGGATATCCTTATCTCAGCAAGGCTTTCACAACCCTACAGGCCTACTATCCATTTTCCTTCTGTGGATTGCTGTCAACATCAGCACACTTTGGGATTCAGGGTATAGGCATCAGGGGCCCAAGACTTTGTCACAGCCTACAATAGGTCATATTTCGGAATTCTCTGTCCCATTTACAACAGGTGATGGCTAACCAGAGTGTAGCCATAAGTGGGACTTTCCAGAAGCAAGGCATCTTATGCCAAAGAGAAAAACTAAGCTCCATTTTCACTTCCTATCCATTCTAACAAGAAGATGATACCATGTTAGTAGATAAAATGACCTTTGTACCTGTGTGCATTGAGATTTGGTGATTTGGTAGTGCCATAGGCATTTTCATTTCTCTCCTGCAAGTACTACCCTACCTAATTTCATTGTCTGCATATATCACTGTACAAAACCTTCTCTGGTCTTTTTTTAACTTTCTGTAGGTAGAGAATCATTTTGGGTGAAGTTCATCCCTGGGCACAGAGCCAGCATAGGGCTGTTTAAGTCCCCTTTCCTTTCAAAGCAGACCATAAAACAAATGGAATTACACTATATACACCAGCTGAAGATTTAGCCCTTTAATTTAATCTTTAACAAGCAATGTTGAAAGCAAAACTCATTCTATTCCAATGGATTCATACCTTAAAATCAATAGTATTTCACTCTTAATTTGTAACATCACATAGTTGTGGGGTTCTCACACTTACCTTCCACTCAAAAAAATAAAAAAGGTTAGATATGCAAAAGAATTCTCCCAACCACCAAATAAGTAAGTCTTCTGATTTTAAAGTTTGAACTTCAATTAAAATTAAAAACCCAGAACAAAACCAGATAAGAATATGCTCGAGGAACACTCCTAGGTCATTAACTTTATCACAGTCTTCACAAATCACATTATATTCCATGATACATATATAGCAATATGTGCCCTTCTCTCTGTTTTTTATAAACACATTTTTGATCAATTCACATAAAAATGAACTACTAACATTAATATTGTTTGAACCATCTGCATGCTCACCAAAATCTTTATGGTAATGAAAGAATCAAATTGCAATAACACTATTTGGTTAACTTACATCGATTTGCACTTGTACCAACGCAGCAGCAACAAAAGCCAGAGATGCAAGAAACATACCAACTGTAATCTTCCTTAGGGGCCTAGGATATCAACAAAAAACATGTATTTTAAGGAGTAGCATTAATCAAAAAATTCTGCTGGGATTTTCCATTTCATTATGAATACTAAGGCTACGTCTACACTGCACAGTTATTTCAGAATAAGCTATTCTGGAATAGTTATTCCAAAATAGCTTATCTTGAAATAGCATATCTACACTGCAGGGAAGCTTCAAAATTAGTCTGAGGCAGGTTTTCCTAATGTAGATGTTCTATCTCAATTTAGAGCCCCAGGAGGAATAACTTAGGGTGTGTCTAGATTACCTAGTTTTGTCGACAAAAGTGGACTTTTGTCGACAAAACAATACCAGCGAAAGCCGCTACTGCGCCTCCTCTCATTTTATAAGGAGTAAGGGTTATTTCAAAAGAAGGGGTTTCTTTCGAAATAACCGTGTCTAGACTTCGTTTCTTTTTTCGAAGTAGGGTATTTCGAAATAGCACCCTGTTGCGATTATGCAAATGAAGCAAAGGAAATTCAAATGTGCGCTTCATTTGCAATTTCATTCGTCTGCATTTGCATTCCTCTCTTGAAAGAGGAATGCAATGTAGACATACCGAGTGTCTGCAGGCACAGCTGCTTGTAGCTCCCAGTAGCTGTGGTTCACCGTTCTCAGACAATGGGAGCTGCAGCTAACTCTGACAAACCTTGTGTGGCCTGCGGGTTGAGGTTCCCCACCCATCTCAGAGGGTAGTAATATACTATCCATGGTTATCTTAGGGTGTGTCTACACAGCAAAGTTATTTTGGAATAATGGTCATTATTCCGAACTAACTATGCAAGCATCTACTCAGCAATTCCGTTATTTCGAAATACTTTTGAAACAATGGACAGCTTATTCCAACTTCTGGAAATCTCATTCTATGAAGAATAATGCCTATTCTGAAATAGCTACTTCAAAATAGGGCATGTGTAGGCATTCCACTTCTGCTATTTCAAAATAGCCTCTCACTAGGGCCATTCTTAGGGTACGTCTAGACTACCGCGTTTTGTCGACGGAAGTTTTGTCGACAGTATCTGTCGACAAAACTTCCGTCGACAAAACGCGGTAGTCTAGACGTACCCTAAGAATGGCCCTAGTGAGAGGCTATTTTGAAATAGCAGAAGTGGAATGCCTACACATGCCCTATTTTGAAGTAGCTATTTCAGAATAGGCATTATTCTTCATAGAATGAGATTTCCAGAAGTTGGAATAAGCTGTCCATTGTTTCAAAAGTATTTCGAAATAACGGAATTGCTGAGTAGATGCTTGCATAGTTAGTTCGGAATAATGACCATTATTCCAAAATAACTTTGCTGTGTAGACACACCCTAAGATAACCATGGATAGTATATTACTACCCTCTGAGATGGGTGGGGAACCTCAACCCGCAGGCCACACAAGGTTTGTCAGAGTTAGCTGCAGCTCCCATTGTCTGAGAACGGTGAACCACAGCTACTGGGAGCTACAAGCAGCTGTGCCTGCAGACACTCGGTATGTCTACATTGCATTCCTCTTTCAAGAGAGGAATGCAAATGCAGACGAATGAAATTGCAAATGAAGCGCACATTTGAATTTCCTTTGCTTCATTTGCATAATCGCAACAGGGTGCTATTTCGAAATACCCTACTTCGAAAAAAGAAACGAAGTCTAGACACGGTTATTTCGAAAGAAACCCCTTCTTTTGAAATAACCCTTACTCCTTATAAAATGAGAGGAGGCGCAGTAGCGGCTTTGGAAGCCGCACTTTTGGGGGAGAAGAGCCAGTTGGTTACCTCTTCCGTACAGATTTCACAGGGGAGACCAGCATTTTTAAAATTTGAGGTCCTCATCCAAAAGTGAGTTGGGGGGGGTGTCACAACAATATTTCCAGCCATAAGCAAAATAATCTTTATACGTGCTGAGGCATGTACAAATGTGCACCAATAGAAACATCAAACCTAGCTGTGAGCACTCTGCTAATTAGCTGGATGACATCTGAATTTCTCCTGAGCAGCCACACAAGTGCACACCTTAATAGGGAACACTGGTCACAAAGTTATTTTAGGGGGATTGCAGTATTGCCACTCTGCTTTTAGAGCTGGGCAGTTAGACAGTAGCAGCTCTTGACTGAACATATAGCTCTGCAGGCAGTGCCCCACCACCAGCAGTGAAGAAGTAAAGGTGGCAATACTATCCTATGCCATCCTTATTTTGGGCTGCTGCCTTCAGAGTTGGGTGGCTGCTGTCTAAGGATGTGGCTCTGCAGGCAGCAGCTTTGCCTTCAGAACTGGGATCCCTGCCAGCAGCCTCCACTCTCCAGCTGCCCAGCTCTGAAGGCAGAACTCCTGCCAGAAATAGCACAGAAGTAGAAGCATTGCAACCCCCCTTCAATATCCTTACAACACCATAACATTTCAGATATAGATAGTTGAAATCATGAAATTTATTATTTTTCAAATCCTATTACTGTGAAATTGACCAAAACAGACCATGAATTTGGTAGGGCCCTACTTATGTGGTTATGGAAAATACCCTGTGAAGCCTTACATATATCAGTGTTAGTTTCCAGTTCCACTACCCCATTTAATATTTTGCTTCTCAACAGCTATGTGGCTCATTCCTATGATTAGTCATCATCTGAACAATTGTTGTTAGGTTTGCACAGCTGACCTAAAAAGTCTGATTTACTCAGTAACACAACTTAGCCCATTTAAGGCTGCAAAGAATAAAAAGAGCTAAAGAAATGTATAGTTATGGTCTATAGAAAAGGAAGATTACATATTATGCATATAGGTTCAAATCTGAAAAGTACGGCACTGAAAAAACTTCAGAGATATGTTTTTAGGTCTAATGACATTTTAAGAAATTAGTAAATTTAAATTTAGTACTGTGGCAATAAATCAGTTTAGGGCAAACTATTTAGGGAATCAAATGATGGCTATAGATGGCCCATCTGTGAAAGAGCCAAGTACAATGTTCATTCCCAGTAAAGAACATAAAAGGTTCTGTCTCTCGGTTGTAATGGGAAAAGAATGGGAAGAGAATATGAGCGCCAAATTAACTATAATAAATGGATCAGAAAAGAAAAGTGCATAGTCAGGCAATTTAATTTTTAAATTTCTCCTACTATTGCTTTATTTGATACTAAATTTATTAATAATTCCCATACATCGGTTGTGACTGTTTGGCACATTACATTTGTAGAACTAGAAACTTGGGTTGTAGACTTATATAAAACCAATGAGAAAAGGAAGAGAACCAGAGAAAGAACTAAGAAATATACCGTAAATACAAAAAACAGGGAACTTTAATATGAAACCCCATGAAAATAAATTAATATGACTTTAAAACTCCAGTAACAGGTTCATGTAGCTTCTTTATAATGAATACCCCTTCCCAAAACTATGCTATGAGAGAGAATCTGACTGAATTTTAGGCTAATTTAATGTCTTCGTGCCACTAAGTCCTAACTTAGAATGACTCTTAAAAATGGGAAAAATATCTGAGGGGTAGTCATGTTAGTCTGTAACTTTAAAAACAACTACTTGTCCTGTGGCACCTTAGAGACTAACAAAAATATATAGCTTTCGTGGGTAAAACCCGCTTCATCATTGTTTTACCCATGAAAGCTCATGCTACTATATATATTTGTTAGTCTCTGAGGGTACGGCTAGACTACAAGTTTTTGTCGGAAAAAGGTACGCAAAATGCACTCTGCATTTTGCTACCTTTTTCTGATTCTTTTGTCGGAAGAGGCTTTTCTGATATTTGGCCTGTCTAGATTGGGCCAAATGTCGGAAAAAGCCCCTCTTTTGGAAGCCCCCTTCTTCCTTGTAGAATGAGGAATACAGGGGCTTCCAAAAGAGCTAATTTGCTTTCACAAAAAAAAAGCAGACGAGCAAATGCATTCCCTGAATGTGGCGGAGTTTTTTCAGGATACCTCTGGTATCCCAAAAAACCCCCTCAGTCTAGCTGTACCCTAAAGTGACACAGGACTACTCATCTTAAACATGGGAGACCCATTTCAGAGTGTATGGAATGATTGGAACTTGGGGAAAAGTTTTTTCAATTGAATTAATTCAAATGAAGCTAACTTTACACACTTGTACACCTTATTAAGCCAGATTGATTGAATTAACTCAGTTGAAAAAAGTACTTCTGCCCCTTTCCCTCATAGGCTCTACTCTGTTGGTTGGTTGGTTGGTTGGTTGGTTGGTTGGTTGGTTGGTTGGTTGGTTGGTTGGTTGGTTGGTTGGTTGGTTGGTTGGTTGGTTGGTTGGTTGGTTGGTTGGTTGGTTGGTTGGTTGGTTGGTTGGTTGGTTGGTTGGTTGGTTGGTTGGTTTTTGTTGGGTTTTTTTGGTTCACAAGGATTTTTGAAATCTCAAATATATTAATTGAACAGGAAAACCATTTCCTCACCATCTCTGAGAGTCCTGCTTTTTTATATCTTCATCTAGCATCGTCTGTTACTAGCAAACAGCACACATAGGAATGGAGTTTGGAAAGGCGAAAAAGGTTCAAAAACAAAAGAGGCTGTATCAAGACTGGCAAGTTTTTCCGCAAAAGCAATTGCTTTTGCGGAAAAACTTGCCAGTCTTGATACAGCCTCTTTTGTTTTTGAACCTTTTTCGCCTTTCCAAACTCCATTCCTATGTGTGCTGTTTGCTAGTAACAGACGATGCTAGATGAAGATATAAAAAAGCAGGACTCTCAGAGATGGTGAGGAAATGGTTTTCCTGTTCAATTAATATATTTGAGATTTCAAAAATCCTTGTGAACCAAAAAAACCCAACAAAAACCAACCAACCAACCACCCAACCAACCAACCAACCAACCAACCAAAAAAACAACTCAACCCAACCCCAAATGTTTATGATTTGGGGTCAATCAAAATATTTTGTTTTGATAATGTTTGTTTTGATTTTGCCCCTTTTCACATTTTTTCAATTTAAGTAGCTTAAATCTTCTAAAATAGTAGTCATTTAAAACAATAAAAATGATTTTTTTCTACTTTGACACTCTGTTTCCAAATTTTTTGTCTCAAAAATTTCTTGAGTCAGGAAACCTTTTGAACCTGACCTTGCTTTGTTAACTGTTTTGGTTTGACTGAATTGGTATTTTTTGGCAAAAAAAGTGATTAGTCAAAACAATGTCTATCCATATCTACTCACAATGTAAAGTGCAGTCCAAGAGCTACCAGAAAGTATATCCAGCATCTTCCAGTCTTTTTATATTAATTCAATATAAAATATTAATTCAAGTTATAGATCTTGGATTTTCTTATCTCACTGAAAGCTTGATCTTCACAATATTATCAACACAGTACTTCAAGATAAATCCTTAAAATACACTTAAAAAGGTAATTATGCATATGAAATTAACTTACGTGAAATTGATGTGGCATTTTTTAATTAAAGGATAAATCACAGCATCTACAACAGGGACCATAATAACGATCAGAATTGGGTTCACGGTCTGTTGAATGTAAAAATCCAAAAAGAAAAAAAGTTAAGCACTTTCCAAAGTCTTTTTTAAAATAGAGGTTTAAAAAAATCTTTGGGGAGTATATATAAATATTACAAATGTAGTTTAGTGTACCTGCATCTGGTCTGGCTGAATCTGCATAGCTCCCTATGGAAAAGAAAAGGAAAATATATTTTAATATCAGAAAACTGACAAAATGCCTAAGAACAAATTACCGGTAAATGTCAATGAATCTTTAAAAATTTAAGTTAAGATAACCTACAAAGTTTCCGTCCATTGTTGTGGCTTGTAATGTCCATCTTGATCCCTTAAAAAAAAAAAGTCATAATGAAATGCTACAGTAAAGCAATTTGCTTTACTTACTTCTGATTTTTTTTAAAGCAATAAAAAAGGAAGACTTTTCTTAAAATTATATGCTTAACAGTCAATCTTTGACAAAGGTCTGATCCTGAACTATTGAAGGAAAATGTTGGATTTTATTTGGGATCTTTGGCGAGCAGCTTTATGGAGGTCTTCCACAGCTTCTGCACTGGGGGAATCCTAGCTCTGTCTACACCATCCCTGACAGATGTCTATCTAACCTGTTCTTAAATATCTCCAGAGAGGGAGATTCCACCACCTCCCTTGGCAATTTATTCCAATATTTGACCACCCTGACAGTTAGGAATTTTTTCCTAATGTCCAATCTAAACCTCCCCTGCTGCACTTTAAGCCCATTACTCCTTGTCCTGTCCTCAGAAACCAAGAGGAACAAATTTTCTCCTTCCTCCTTGTGACACCCTTTTAGATATTTGAAAACCGCTATCATGTCCCCCCTTAATCTTCTTTTTTCCAAACTAAACAAGCCCAGTTCATGAAGCCTGGCTTCATAGGTCATGTTCTCTAAACCTTTAATCATTCTTGTTGCTCTTCTCTGTACCCTTTCCAATTTCTCCACATCTTTCTTGAAATGTGGCGCCCAGAACTGGACACAGTACTCCAGCTGAGGCCTAACTAGTGCAGAGTAGAGCGGCAGAATGACTTCACGAGTTTTGCTTACAACACACCTGTTGATACAACCTAGAATCATATTTGCTTTTTTTGCAACAGCATCACACTGTTGACTCATATTCAACTTGTGGTCCACTATGACCCCTAGATCCCTTTCTGCCATGCTCCTTCCTAGACAGTCGCTTCCCATCTTGTATGTATGGAACTGATTGTTCCTTCCTAAGTGGAGCACTTTGCATTTCTCTTTATTAAACCTCATCCTGTTTACCTCTGACCATTTCTCTAACTTGCTAAGGTCATTTTGAATTATGTCCCTATCCTCCAAAGAAGTTGCAACCCCACCCAGTTTGGTATCATCTGCAAACTTAATAAGCGTACTCTCTATCCCAATATCTACATCATTGATGAAGATATTGAACAGTATGGGTCCCAAAACAGACCCTTGAGGAACTCCACTTGTTATCCCTTTCCAGCAGGATTTAGAACCGTTAACAACAACTCTCTGACTACGGTTATCCAGCCAATTATGCACCCACCTTATCGTGGCCCTATCTAAGTTATATTTGCCTAGTTTATCAATAAGAATATCATGCGAGACCGTATCAAATGCCTTACTAAAGTCTAGGTATATGACATCCACCGCTTCTCCCTTATCCACAAGGCTCGTTATCTTATCAAAGAAAGCTATCAGATTAGTTTGGCATGACTTGTTCTTCACAAACCCATGCTGGCTATTCCCTATCACTTTATTACCTTCCAAGTGTTTGCATATGATTTCCTTAATTACCTGCTCCATTATCTTCCCTGGGACAGACGTTAAACTGACCGGTCTGTAGTTTCCTGGGTTGTTCTTATTCCCCTTTTTATAGATGGGCACAATATTTGCCCTTTTCCAGTCTTCTGGAATCTCCCCTGTCTGCCATGATTTTTCAAAGATCATAGCTAAAGGCTCAGATACCTCCTCTATCAGCTCCTTGAGTATCCTGGGATGCATTTCATCAGGACCTGGTGACTTGCTGACATCTAACTTTCCTACGTGATTTTTAACTTGTTCTTTGTGTATCCTATCTTCTAAACTTACCCTCTCTCTGCTTGTATTCACTACGTTAGGCACACCTCCAGACTTCTCGGTGAAGACCGAAACAAAGAAGTCATTGAGCATCTCTGCCATTTCCAAGTTTCCTGTTACTGCTTCTCCCTCCTCACTAAGCAGTGGGCCTACCCTGTCCTTGGTCTTCCTCTTGCTTTTAATGTATTTATAAAAGGTCTTCTTGTTTCCCTTTATGCCTGTAGCTAGTTTGATCTCATTTTGTGCCTTTGCCTTTCTAATCTTGCCCCTGCATGGAACTGGGGGTTTTATGGGGCATCTACACAGCACCCTTAGCTCGAAATAAGCTATGCAAATTGCATAGCTTATTTCAAGTATATTTCGAAATAGCGTATTTTGTAATTTGGTGCTGTCTACACAGTGCCAAATTTTGAAATAACTCAGTATTCCAAAATGCCCCTTAACCCTCATAGAACAAGGGTTACTGGGATGTCGGAATAAGCTGCTCGTTATTTCAAAATCTAATTCAAAATAAAGGACTGCTTCAATAGAAGCGGAATAGCTATTTCGGGATACTTCTGGTTTCCCAAAATAGCTCCACAGTGTAGACGTACCCTTTAGAGGCCTTTTGCACTGCTCTAGCCTTTATTAACCAGCATATAGGAGCTGGAACTGGAGTGAGTTTATCTTTAATATTTTTGCTGACATTGTTTCACTTGACATTTATTTTGAAAATATACATGTTTGAAATATTAACTGATCATACACATATACATAGTGTATAATAGAAGTGATAAGTAAAATAATAGATACAATATATAAATAACTGTGTAATTCATAAGTGCCATTTTTCATTATAACCAATTTAAATTCTGCATGGCTGTGCCCACTGAATTCACAACATAATGACTCAATGTAATTTTACATGTATTTGTAAAAAAATTACATTTTTTATACCTTACCTGTTGATCAAAAAGTGCCCAGAACATGGGAAGAGGAATATACAGGAAAAGCACCTTCAAGACCATCTTAGTTTGAACAATAAGTCGTTTCTATAGTGAAAAACAATAAAAATAGGCAAATTCAACCAAACCTCACATTTTAAACATATATTACTGATACTATTATTATTGCTATTATTCATATTATAATTCACATTAAAAACAAAGATTCTGATCATGCAAGACTAAGGGTGTGTCTAGACTACCTACATAACGTCGACAGGACTCAGCAGTTTTGTCGACGCTGGTATACCTCATTTTACGAGGCATAACACCTTCTGTCGACAGAACTCTGTCGACAGAAGGTGTTATTGCCTGTAGGGTTGCGTCTAGACTACGGAGTTCTGTCGACAAAGCAGCTTGCTTTGTCGACAGAACTCAATGTGTCTGGACGCTCTTTGTCGACGGAAGTTTTGTCGACAGTATCTGTCGACAAAACTTCCGTCGACAAAACGCGGTAGTCTAGACGTACCCTTAGAAACTTGCTAAACTCCATAGATTGTGAGTAGTTCTTTAGACATCAATGGAATTCTTTAAAGTGCTTTAAAGTTAAGCACATGTGTAAGTCTTTGCACTACTGGGGCCTAAATTAAGGCAAAGGTGGCTGCGTCTAGACTGGCAAGATTTTCCGTGAAAGCAGCTGCTTTTGCGGAAAAACTTGCCAGCTGTCTACACTGGCCGCTTGAATTTCCACAAGAACACTGAAGCAAAATGCAGGACTAAAAAAAAGGAACACTGACTTCCTACTGTCTGAAATCAGTGCTTCTTGCGGAAATACTATGCTGCTCCCGTTCGGACAAAAGTCCTTTTGCGCAAAGCTTTTGCGCAAAAGGGCCAGTGTAGACATCTCAGATTTGTTTTGCGCAAAAAAGCCCCGATTGTGAAAATGGCGATCAGGGCTTTTTTGCGCAAAAGCGCGTCTAGATTGGCACGGACGCTTTTCTGCAAAAAGTGCTTTTGCGGAAAAGCATCCGTGCCAATCTAGATGTTCTTTTCCGCAAATGCTTTTAACGGAAAACTTTTCCGTTAAAAGCATTTGTGGAAAATCATGCCAGTCTAGACGTAGCCCATGTGTGTAGGTGTATGGAAAAAGCACAAGAGGACCTATGTAAATAAAGTCCACTATTACCCAGTAATGTTTGTACATATATTTGGTAGTTACATTGAAGTAGGTTTTGTTTTTATTAGTTTGTGTTATTTTATCACATTGCTGATAGGTCAGGCTGTGAGTTTGTCAGGTTTCATGATTTTCCAGGATCTCCATGACTTCTGCATTGGCTGAGGCAGCTAGCCTGGGGCCCACATGAACAGCTCAAGCAGCCCCTGGGCCAGCCACACTGGTCTTGTGCCACCATGCCTTCCCCACCCACAGTAGGAGTGTGGGTATGGAAGGTTGACCCAGGGGTCTGGGGTATTAGCTTAAATTCTGGAACATAATTTTTCTAGGAGTATATTTTGTGACAAATTCCATGGTCATGGAGTCCATGGGGTATTAACTACAATCCCCATTATTATAACATGCATTGTTTGTATATAGTGTCATAGAAATTGTGTGTTTTCTTTCAAAATGCATTTTGAATAACAAGGGCATACAAAAATATTTGCTATAGTATCGAAACTGGTATCTAGTGATTTCAGGTATTTGTTCTGAGAGAGAAATACAATTAAACCTTGCCACAGCAGTAAATTCAAGCTAGAACACTAGCTTCTGATTACTTGAGACAGACATAACATTAGCTCCCCTGGTATTTTGAATGCAGCTGCATAACTAGTGAACAAAGCCAGTGGAACAAAAAAGAAAAAGGAAGGGAAGCATTATTTATCTATTCATGCACATGTACACACAAATGACTTACATCATACTTTTCACTAGCCCAGTCCAGCCAGTGTTCTCTTTTAGGAAATTGTTTGCTGCGTTGCTTAAACCTATTTTTGATAGCAAACTGTGAAAAGAACATTAATACATTTGGATTAATTACACTGAACACCATTGAAATGTGATACAACAAATATATGTAACTATAAGATTACATGACTTATTATAAGATAAACTTTCTTTCAGAGCACATTATATTTCTCAATTTATTTTCATTTATTTTTATTATTACAAAAAGGTGAAGCATAGAATTGTAAGACTAGGGGTGGAAGAGATCACAGGTGATCTTCTAAGTCTACCCCCCTGCTCAAAGCAGGACCAATCCCATCAAAATCATGTTTCTATGAAACTGTTTTAAATACTTAAAGGAAGCTTTCTGTAACATCTTGAATTCAGGGAAAATTCTCAATATTAGAGGAAACGAAGCGGTTGAGAAAAATAGATAGAACCTCTTAACATTGGATTCTCCTGGAATTTCTCTGAATCCTTGGCTACACAGATAGGATTTTGCAAGGTACAAAGTAAGAAATTAGTTTAAGTTTTACACAGAAATTCTTCAGAATGGAATTGAACTTTAAGGATACATTTTGTTTACATGAAACATTAATATGCATTTTCTAGTGAATTCCTCATTCCAAAAATATGATGTAGCTGTGTTAGAGGTACATTGGCAGACCTGTATGAGGGGAAAGCACAGGACTGGAATAACAAGGGGATACCACAGGAGATTACTACCTGCAGAAAGTTCCACTGAAGTCTCTGGCACAATTGGGTCCTGATCTTGCTCAAGGCGTCAAAGAACCATGATAATACAACTGAATACATAAATAATAATCAACATTTACTGAGATTACGAGACCCTCATAGTTGGATTAGTAAAACTTTTGGCTGATTTAAAATCAAATCAATGCAGGATAATGTAAAATGTGTGTGCACATGCACACGTGTGTGCTCTACAATTCCTTGGGCTCAATGAAGAAAACAAATAGAAACCAGAGTGAGTCTCAGAAACTTCTTTTACACCTGTTTTGAACAATGTTTGTTCCCATTATTTTACTGGTAAAATTAAAAAATATTTTGATTGACAATTAGAAATCCATAAATAAACATAAAATCTTGTTTTAAAGAAAAACAGCTGCTATTTCTTGACACTAAATGGAAGAATCATTCTATAAATTCATACACATCAGCAAGAATCCAGACAAATCGAAAGATTGGATTAGTTGTGACAAAAATAATCACATCATCATGATGGAATTTTATTCCTGACTGAAATGGAATATACAGTTTGAAAACCACAAAGTTTATGAATGTCATAAACATCCACTTTTGTGGGCAAAAACCACTTCCTCAAATGAGCAGTGAGATGAGTGACTCTGACCATCTGAGGAAGTGGGTTTTGTCCATGAAATCTTTTGTGTGTGTGTGTGTGTGTGTGTGTGTGTGTTATTTATGTATTTATTTATTTATTGGTCTCCAAGATGCCACCAGAGTACTTGTTTTTAAAGTTACAGACTAACATGGCTACCCCTCTGAGAATTAGAAACATCATCCATTTGTGGTAAAGACAAATTTCATTAGAAAAGTCCAGCCTTGCTTTTCCAAGTAGTCTGGCAGTACTTACTCCAATGCATTTGGAAACCTGGAGCATTATATTGCCTTCAGGATGACCTTTCTTGTACATATTGCTTCCTAATATGAACACCACTGCAATGAGTAAACAGAGAAACATTTCAGGATTGACTGAAATTAGAGGAAAATATTTGATATACAAAACATAATGACAAGGAGGTTAAAACAAACCAAATCTGAGTGGAAAACAACATTCTAAAAAGCAATACAAATAGTTAACATATTTATCCAGTAATTTTTAATCAATCTAATATATTTTATCAGATTCTTAAGCAGTCCTTATTTAGGGAAACATCTATTGTCTTCAGTGGGAAAGCAGTCTGCCAGAGTAAGGATGAACCCAAAACAAAATACTGTAGATAGGGCATGTCTACACTAACAAGCTATTTCAAAATAACTAAATTCAATTTAATAATGCCCCAAATAATAACATAGAAATAGCATGTCCACATTATGGGAAAGCCTCAAAATTAATGAGAGACTCGCTCCATTAATGTGGACGTGCTACCTCAATTTAGAGCCTCAGGAAGCACTGTGGAGTAATTAGTTCAAATTACTCTGGGGAGTAGTTATTTTGAAATAGTGGCACTGGAGGGTCCACACTACCGCTATTTCAAAATAACTATTTCAAAATAATTTTATTCCCCTAGGGAAGCAGGATTCAGATTTCAAAATAAGTGGTAGTAGGGACTCTCTACTTTGTAATTCAGCCTTGGGGGGGTTATTTCAAAATAAATCCCTAGTATAGACTATGGTGTAATGGCCTTAGGTCTGAGCCTTTGGAGACGGATGGCACGAGACAAATTGCTTGATCATTGTCTTCAGTCCACCCCCTCTGGGGCACCTGGTGTTGGCCACTGTCGGCGGACAGGCTACTGGACTAGATGGACCTTTGGGCCCAGCACAGCCGTTCTTTTGTTCTTATGAGCCTGCTATATTTTACCAATACAACCTATAATTAAAGATGTGATTTTAGAAGAACAAGTATATTGGCTATTTCAGCTATTTTGTCATCTGTCACACTCTGAAAGGCTTCTTATTACTATATTATTCCTTGATATTTCTCAATTATTGTTGAGAAGTGCAGCTGGTAAAATGCAATGGTGTTTCACAAGCAAGTAAATGGTTAGATACAGAAGAACAATGCAATATTTCAGCAGTGTATGCTCAATTACTGTATTAATATACTTCTATTTCTAGTCTATGCTCATCTTAAACTTGGATATTTGATGAAAGCTTTCAAAAACTTCCCTTATTTAAAGCTTTCATATTTAATTATTGCCCATAAATGCTCCAAATAGTACTACATAAGCTAAAGCAAACTATGTAAGGCAGAACATTAAACATTTATTTGAGGGTTTGCTATGAACTCAGATAAGGGGCAGTCTGTTCTTGTGTTGCCGCAGGCACAGCTCTCATGGGAGTTCCCCTGCTGCTCCAGGACTTCCCCTGCTCCATTATTCCCCAAAGAAAGCAGAAGTACAGATTTCGCAATAACCCGCCCATTATTTCTAAATAGCAAGCTTAGGAGTGTGGATGCTCTGCTTATTATTTCGAAATAAGGCAAGTTATTTCGAAATAACTCCCTAGTGTAGACTAGGGCTTATTTCCCCATCTCACATGAAAAGTAGCCAATACAATAAAGTGAATTTGTGCAATATATGAAATGGAAAGCATGCATCATACTCAATGAAACAGCCATGAGTGCAGCAGGCACTCCAAAGGCCAGTGGGTAACACTGTTGCTTGGTGTGAATTCCACATTGTTCACCTGTAGGAAACAAAACATTGTTAGACAAGAGTTTTGTATGCTAGTGTCAGCTGGCATTGAAGCTATAAAATCAGTTTAACTAGAAATATACGAGCTTGCTAGCAACTAATCTGTCTTGCTCTGACATTTTAGTCAGCTTTCTAGTCAAATCATTAAAAAAAGTCCTATGTGTCTTCCTTTGGCTGACTCTGTTCAATCTACAGAACGTATTTTCAATGATTTACCAGTAAATAAAGACCTCATATATTTTTTCATATGCTCATCTGCCACCTATCCTAAGAAGGTGTTAACTAATTAGCAGATTGTGTTAACTAATCTTCTAAACCAGGGGTCTCCAAACTACGGCCCGCGGGCCGGATGCGGCCCGCGAGGCCCTCTCATCCGGCCCGTGGAGACCTTTTTGTCTACGGAAAAAAAATTACGGAAATTTGAGAACAAACTTGTCCGATGATAATCTCAGGTCACTGTTGATGTTAGGGACAACAAATCTAAAGCCAGAAATGTCTGCTATTTTGGCATCCAGGAAACAATTTCACCATTCACACTAATACAGGTGTTCATGTGTAGTGTATCAATGTGTTATTAAATAATAACTGAATAAAATAATATTAAATAAATAATTAAAAACAACATCCATGTTTTGATTGTTTTTTATTTGGACCTCAAGTGTGTAGTCGGCCCCCGAACTGCTGTTTGATAGTAAATGCGGCCCTCGGGCAGAAAAGTTTGGAGACCCCTGTTCTAAACCAATAATAAGATGACAGCAACAAGCAGGAACAGAATGCCAGAAATCAAAAGATCTGAGTCTGAGCTACACTTATTTAAAAATCATTTGCATAATTTACTTGTGGCTTTGCCATTCTTGAGAAAACAGCAATTCTAAATCATGCCAATAAAACATAAATCCATCATACGGTGCACCACATACTACACTTCCAGATGTAAGTGTGTGCATATGTGTACAATCACTACATTATATAATCAAAGTTAAACATAAGAAAGGTCAGAAAAACAAAAGTATATTTAATCATACATGGCTTATTAAGGAATGAACCCAGGAACTGGTCATTTAGAATTTGCTTTACATATAACAGGATATCACTTCATAAATGCAAAATCATGGAGCCATTTATCTATTATATATTTGAGTTGATCTGTTTGTGAGTGTATTTATCTGTTTGTTCAAGAACTCCTCCTTAATGGTAAGAACTAAGACCACCAAATTTGGTATGTAGCTTCCTCTTATCATAACTCAAAGCAAAGTCAGTGTTTGGTTGTGCAGGAAAATGGGATGTGCCTGGATTGGGATTATTTCTAATAAAAAAAGAAAGGGAGTGCTTTGCTATATAATGACCATATGAGGGCACCAAGGGATACGCGATGGAAAGCAGAGGCTGTTATACTGTACAATGACCACAGGGGGCAGTAAGAAGCCAGAGATGGGGACTGGGAAAACTATAACCCCATTGGGCCAGCAGGAAGTGGGGTGAAGAAAGGGACTGCTATCTACTAAATATTTGAGAGGGTTTGTCTGTTTTAGTAGGTCTACACTACAGAGTTTTGTCGGAAAAAGGCCGTTTTTCCAACAAAACTTGAAGAACGTCCACACTGCAATTGCATTCTTCAGCAAGAAAATCAAAAGAACAGAGGGGTTTTTCTGGCATTTGGTAATCCTCATTCTACGAGGAAGAAGCCTTTTTGCGAAAGAGCGCTTTCACAAAAAGGTGTGTGTGGACGGGGAAGAGGGAGTCCTTTCAGAAGAAGAGGAAAGAGGAAAAAGCACAGGTGCCCTGGTAGCCATTCCATCCATAGCAATCACAACTTACATGAGAAGGAGCATTAATTCAGTCTGGACACTCTCTTTCAAAATAGCATATCGCTTTTTCGATGCACTTTAGCAGTGTGTATGCTCTTTTTCGGAAGAAGTTCTTTTGGAAGATCTCTTCCAAAAAAAGCTTTTTCTGAAAGAAGCCTGTAGTCTAGATGTAGCCTTTCTGTGTTTGTTTGTGTGTGTGTTCTCCAGCCACGGGGCATGCAGTCCTCCCCAGGCTGTGCCAGCTGCAGCAGCTATGGAGAGGTGCTTCTCACCTGAGCCCGAGCTGCTGGGATTAGAGGATTGGGGTAGTCCCCTCTCCCTGGGGCAGCCTGCATACTGAACCCCACACCCCCAGCCCCACCTCAGAGCAATGATTTAAATTAAGAAAAACAAAAATTAATTGAGATAAGGGACCCAAGCAACACTGGGTAAATCTTCTAGTAATTAGAATAAATAAAACATCCATTCTGACATAATTTGTACATTTCACGTATGTATGTATCTATGCATCCATTGCAAAATCTTTAAGTATCTGAATAAAAAGTTCCCCTTCTTTCTCCCCTCTCCCCAAGTAGAGAAATCTAATCTAGAGAGGTTAGTTGAATCTCTGATATTGGCGATATTTAAAAGTATGGAGATATTTAAGGGCATGTTAGACAAATATCAATCCGGGATGATCCCACCGTGAATGCAGGGGACTGGGACTTGATGACCTCTCAAGGTCCCTTCCAGTTCTAGTATTCTATGATTCTATACTGTTTTCCTCCCCTTTTTGAGGATTTTAATGGTGATTTAAAAGATGCTGTGTTGCTATGACTTAGAACAAAGCCTTGTTTGAGCTATGGAAGAGTCACAGCAGCAGAGCTGGCTTTCCCTCTTCCCATCAGGTGTAAAAGTCTCCATGGTCATTCAATTTTTGAGACTGCCAAGAAAGATGACAATTAGCATCAACTATGACAGTAAAGTTTTGTGATTTTGACATTTTTTCTGCATTAGAAATAAGCTGAAAGTATTAACAGGTTTCATAAGCCATCTGATGGTATAGACTTCTGGGTGGTCTCAAAATGGTTGCCTAAAACTAAAATACCCTTATCCAGTACTAATCCAATGAGTGATCCTGCCCTGCTGCCACTTTCTTTCTTTCTTTCTTTCTTTCTTTCTTTCTTTCTTTCTTTCTTTCTTTCTTTCTTTCTTTCTTTCTTTCTTTCTTTCTTTCTTATTTTGCTATGCTGTTTAACCAGACTTAGACAGCAAGCAGTGCAAGTTTACCTCTGAGAATTGGAGTAATTATCGTAGAGAGGAGACTTCCAGCATTAACAGCCAAATAAAACAGGGAGAAGAATCTGCTTCTTTGTTTTTCCTGCAGTGAGAAATAGAAAATACATTTTAAAATAACTATTTAGAATATGGATAGTCAGTACTATGTTGACCAGACTCTTCTGTCCTAAATTGCAATGTGAGATTGGAGTCAGCTCAATATTTAGTACTGATGGCACAGTGCATGTATTTGTAGAGAATGCTGGAGTAGGAGCTAGCTCTTCTTTTGGACTCAATTACCTGAGCAATGGAAACATGGGAAGATATATATCTATTATTATTATTATTATTAAAAATGAAATATGAGTCCAACTACATTTGAAAAATATAATTACCTGTTCCTCGTCAAATTGATCTCCACCAAATGCTGCTACACAAGGTTTGATTCCACCAGTACCAAAAGCAATCAAGATCAGGCCAATCATAGACAGACCACTGGAAAAGGGGGGAAATGTACCTCAGTTTAGTTTAGTAGAGGTAAAATAACATCACACAAGAAGAAATGCCCATGCTTGCTAATAGCAACAGCATTAAACAAAGGAATTCTTAATGAAAACTGTGTTCTAACATTCAAAAATGTTCTGGTCTATATATGACACTTTTGTGCAATATTCTGCAAAAGAATTATCGCTGAGATGAATCAGCATGGAAGGCCAGGGACACAAAAGGTGCATCACGGAGGAGGACTCTGGACTTCAGAGAGCTGACAGACAGCTCAGGCAAACCTGCTATAAGTCAAAGGATCCCATGGGGCTGACCTACCTTATATGAGGGCCATTTCAGGCCTTGCAGCAGCCCAGAATACAGGCAGTAGAAAGGTGGCCTAAAACCATCTTTGTTCTTGCTCATGCTGGCCTGTGATTTCTGTGCTGTATCTCAGGAAGTGCAAAAGAGTCTCTAGTAGTTTATATTCAACTTTTGCTTATTCTTAGATATTCTGTCCTGGCTCATTTAACTGGGAGAAATACTATATTATATTATTAATTATGATTAATTATTAACTATTATTATATAATTACTCTATTATTCAGGAGTATGATATAATTTACTTGAAAACCAAGATGTATTATTGAGGAAATTTGAATGGTGTTATTGCATCTTGTACAATGTATTTCCGGATGTTAAAATTCTAGCTCCAAAATCAGATGAAAGTAAAATAAGATATTTTGCTAACAGAGAACCTCTTTTCCACAGACCTTGTGAAAATCTGAAGGCTGATGAGAAAAATTCACAAAATGTATATTTCATACTCAACACAGTTTATTTCTAATCATTCCCTTACAGAGTACAGATTAAAAATAAAATTTGAATGAAAGAATTCTGCCATAAGGTAAATGGCTGCTTCATTTAAATTAAGTGAAATCAGCATAGTTTGAATTTTCCACACATCCTCTGAAACTTTTCAGGTAGATAAAATAAAAGGGAAAAACGGTATAAAAGCAGTGAACTCCACAGGTTCTCTTCTCTAAAACTATGAAATCTCAGGAAAATTGATTATGTAAAATTGAGCTACTTTAGGGAAGGTTTTTCCAATGGTGTTAGGATAGGGGTCATATAAAAGTTCCTTATACAAGTAGTAGAAAATAAGGAAAGGCTGATTATTAGACAATTTAAACAACAAGTATAGTAAATTGAAGAACTAAATTATTCCATCATGTATTAATCTGAAAGACAGAAATTTGTAATGAAACTTACATGTGCAATGAAATGTTATCAGGAGTCCCATCCCTGTTATAGTCTGTCAAGTCATTTATGGAACTTACTGCCATGATCACCTGTCCAATGGTATAAACAATGGACAGGGAGATAATGGTCCTGTTGTAAAGGAAGAAGACAGTAAATATGTCTTTTTAGCTGTACAGCCAACTCAGATTTCTTTCTAGTTCAAGAGACTGTTTCAGGCAGAAAGATAATTGGTTAGAATAAACATGATGAATAAATCCATCATGAAATGGCTATGAGAATTTTATTGCAAGTTACTGTAAATATATCAAAACATTTTCTAAATAATAAACAATTCATCCCATTCCAATTATGCTTTTGATATTTTATTTAAAAATAGTCTCTGCTTAAAAAAAATAATGCAATTATATTACAGGACTAAATTAAAATAACAAGACAAAAGATATCAGAAAAAAAGGTTTGTATTCAGGCATGTTATTTAATATTTACATATTGTGATTGCAATGTTAGCACTTCAGTGATTGCCTCTTTAATAACCAAGTGAGAAAAAAAAGTAAGATTGTTAAAGTCTTTTTATCCTATTTAATATATTGTGAAATTTAAGCTCTATATGCATAATACCAACAAATATGAAACCTATAATCTGGTATATTACTATTTATAGTTCTTCTTCATGATACTTTAAGGAATAATAATGAAAACTACATAAAAGTATCTTCATAAATAATGAGAACAGCCCATTAGTTGTTTCACTCAGAGTAAAGTGAATTCATCTATGAAAGACTAAAATTCTAGACTAGTATCAGAACAGTGGTGCTAACTGCCATCACCAATCATGACTTTCTCTCTTGCCACTGGTGACTGAGTATGCATATTGCATGATCAAGAAAATTATAACTTTAAATTTATGTTCATTCTTGCTCAAAGCCCTTAAACGTGTTCTTAGCTTTAACTTTAATGGTACTTAAACATGATTAAAGCTAAGCATGTGATGAAATGTTTTGCAGAATGTGATCTTGTTAAAAATCCACAGACATATACATTACAGTATTGGAGAAAACGGACCATAATCTGATGTTCAGTAACAGGCAGGCATGTGCATCAAGAAAAAAGAGAAAAAAAAACCCATGTGTAATAGTGGACAAGACTGTCATATGGTGTGGAAAGTACTCAAGATTCCATTCAAACAACACTGGCATTGGCCTTCCTTTCCAAGCACAGTGCAGAAAAGCTCATGCTCAGGGCCTTTGGAATCTGGAATCAGACAGGCAAAAGTGAAAGAAACCTCAGCAAGCTGAAATATATATATTTTTTAAGAGCAAAGAATAATTTCAGGTACTGCCACTTCCAAATTCTCTGGTTTTACATAACATTTTCCTATTTAAAAAATATTTTTCAGTGTTAAAAATATATGCAAATAAGGGAAATGGCAAAGTACCAAGTAGTAACAAGTATAGGGCTGTGTCCAGACTCAGGGGTTTTTTCGAAAAAAGTAGCCTTTTTTCGAAAAAACTTCACCTGCGTCTAGACTGCAGCCGCGTTCTTTCGAAATTAAATCGAAAGAATGCGGCTTTTCTTTCGACGGTGGTAAACCTAATTCCACGAGGAAGAACGCCTTCTTTCGAAAGTGCTCTTTCGAAAGAAGGCGTTCTTGAAAGCAAACAGGCTTTTTAGAAAGAGAGCATCCAGACTCACTGGGTGCTTTCTTTCGAAAAAGCGGCTTGCTTTTTCAAAATTCCGCGTGCAGTCTAGACGCTCTCTTTCGAAAGAGGCTCTTTCGAAAGTATCTTTTGAAAGAGCCTCTTTCGAAAGAGGCTTGCAGTCTAGACATAGCCCAAGTGAAAAACAGAAAGAATGTAGAAAATACATTTTTCTCTAATTTCTGTCAGTTACAATGATTTTAGGTGTTAGTCTTATCAACAATTGAAAATACATTTCAGATAGGAGTGTGACTTTTTCTGAGCTGACAGTAAGAAAATCTTGTTGCTGTTCTTTGTTTGGTAGGCTCAGATACTACAAGGACAAGGGCCATATAAGTAATAGAGAGGCAATTGATGGCAGGAGCAGCCAAACTTACTGACACTCTGAGCTGCACACAACAAGAAGTTCGAGAGCTGGGACACACTTGACAGGATTCAGGGCTTCAGCCCTGTGGGAAGCATCTGCCAGAGCTTGGAGCCTGAGCCCCAGCAGGTGCCCCATCCAGGGCTGAAGCCCTGAGACCACCCCCTTCCTGTTGGCAGAAGGCTATGCCCCCTACCTCATTGCAAGGGTCCTGAGTCCCTCCTCCTCATTTAGTAGGTGGAGATTGCGGGGGGACCTGAGGGCTCCACAAGCCCCACTTTAATTGTAAAACAGTTTGGCCACCCCTGATTTAGGCAATTGGTTCTATAAGATTTACTTTTACGTGCAGCACACTGCAAAAACGCTATGTATCCTCTTCTACAGACGAGAACTCCCTGTCCAACAGAGTACGTAGAAAGTCCCTGAGGGTACTCCCACACAGAGATTGTGCTGGTACAGTGAATGGGTTACTTGAGGACTGAAACTCCATGACATTAATGCTATAATTATTAGTATTTTGGCTAACTTCCACACAGTCCTCTCTGGTAACCTTCTTCATGAGCTTTACATTAGTAAAGCTTCAAAAGATTAGTCGAGTTAGTCTGTACAGGATAAACTTAAAAACAACAAATAGTCTGGTAGCACTTTAAAGATTAACAAAACATGTAGAAGGTAACATGAGCTTTCATGGGCTGTGCTACCATACTATTTAAAGTGCTACCATACTATTTGTTGTTTTTTACGTTTTAGTAGGTTTTTTGCTTTAAAAATTACATAAAAGCATATTTTAGAAGCAAACTAAAAGTTTTATATTATTTCCACTAGTCAAAACTCAATTTCTAAATTCCAACAGAGTACTCCCATTGAACTCATAGTAAACCTTTGCAAGATCAGGGATTCATACAGCTTTGGCAATCTGATATAAATTAATTATTGTGGAAGAAACACAGAACCCAAAAGCATAGTCTTGATAAATGAGTTAAAAGTTGAAGGGTGGAATTCACAAGTGGAGCACAGTTGTTGCTTTAGGACTGTAGATCCAACATGTAGGTGCCACTGGCATCCACAAACCCCCTACTTGGCTGCCACATAACCCTATAAATGCCTATGTTTCCCCCATTAAAGTCTTCCAGATTTCTAAATTTCAGTGGCTGGACATACACACATCTGACTATATCTTGGCACCAACTCATAGATTGATGCCTAACTCACTCCTAAGCATCAGTTGGACCAGAAAATATGCATTACTTGACTGTCTTGGCTCCAGGGCCTGATCAGGTAAGCATATTCAAAGCACACTTAAACCCCCAAAAGACACTAACAGTAAAGATGCCTCTTCCCCCCATGATAACTTTTAGTTTAGTGGTTAGAGCACTCCCTCAGAAAGTGGGAGACCCAGGTTCACATCCATCCTCTGCCTGAGGCAGAGAAAGGATTTGAATGTGGATTTCCCACTTCCAGGGTAAATGCCTTAACCACAGGCTATGTAGTAGTTTGGGGCAAATCTCTACAGTTGAAGCTGTTATATTACGTACAAATGACTAAATATTCAGCAAGGATTCATCTACACAGCACAGTTATTTTGAAATAACGGCTGTTATTTTGAAATAATGATGTGAGCGTCTACACAGCAATTCTGTTATTTCGAAATAATTTTGAAATAACGGATGGCTTATTTCGAAATCTGCAAACCTCATTCCATGAGGAATAATGCTTATTCCAAAATAGCTATTTTGGAATAGCAGTAGTGTGGACGCTCCATTGCTGCTATTTCGAAATAGCTCCTCCCCAGGGGCATTCAAACTAATTACTCCCTAGTGCATCCTGGGGCTCTAAATTGAGGTAGCACATCCACATTAGGGAAGCCTGCCTTGGATTAATTTTGAGGCTTCCTTGTAGTATAGACGCGCTATTTTGAAATAAGCTGTTTTGGAAAAAAAATCTGAAATAGTTTATTTCAAAATAAGTGTGCTATGTAGACATACCCCAAGAAAAGTAGAACTTAGGTTTCTCTCATCCCTGAGAGAGTGTCCTAGCTGAGTCATACTCATCCGTTCTCTGTCTCAACGAATATTTATGTCAGTGACTCAAGCTTCCAGTTCTGAGTGAAATCTATTAAAACATGAAGCCTCTCTACAAATCTGAATTCATTCAGCTCCTGACAGTATTCGTTAATCCTGAGGGTAGTTTGAAACACTCTCTCCCTAATCAACAGTTAGAATTCCATTGCTTTTTGCCACCGTGCCTTCATTTTCTTGTTGATTTTCAAATAATCACTCACATGAACTTTCCCAGCCAGGAGTCTGCAACGATTGCTCCAAGGATTGGAGTCAAATAGCACAGGGCAACAAATGTGTGGTAGATGGCTGTAGACAGGTTATCATCCCAACGGAGAAAATATTTGAAGTACAGAACAAGCACAGCTACAAAGGGGAACAAAACAATTGGTTAGAGAAATGATAATGAGTAACAGAAACCAAAATCAGGTGAAGACTGAAAAGGAAGTTACCTCGCATTCCATAGTAGGAGAATCTTTCACAGAACTCATTGATGACAATGAAGAAGATGCTGAGTGGATAACCAAAGCACCTTGGCTGAAGGGGAACAGTAGTACAATGTGAGTTCCAACAAAGCCATTAAATGTGTAAATAGAATCATTATCTGGTCAGTATCCATAATTCTACCCCAAGTCAGTACAAATGTTACCCGTTACAGGCCAATTAAAATATACCAGTGTAGATAGATCTATTGACTGCAATGGAGCAAAATTGTAATTGAATAAAAGTGTCATGTATTGCATATTTAGGATGTTAAGCTTCTAATATCTAGAATAGTTCAGACTAGTATCCCAAAATATGCAAAACACTTTTTTATATCATATTTTTATATTAAAATCTAGCAACATTTTTAGAGGTCCTTTGTCAGGTGAAAATGATTAATCTTTTGTATTGAACTAAAGCAAATCTTCCAGTAAGATAACCAGTCTGGACATGAAACAAAGAAGACACAGATAATCCTCCACTCCCCTTTGTAGTTTGTTCTAGTGGTTAAATACCTTCACTCTTAACATTTGGGCCTGATTTAAATTTGTCTGGCTTTCACTTCCAGACATTAGCTCTTCTGTACCTTTTTCTACTAAATTAAAGAGTCCTGTAGAACCCAGTATTTCTACCCAGTAAAGATAAAGTTTAGTTTGCAAATACATTAAAAATGCATGTGAGTATTTGCATGCTGTATCTTTTAGGTCCTAAGAGTTTATGATTCATAAATTATTGAGCCATGTTGAGTACCATGGTGAGAGCAACAAATACAAAATTAGGCAAAACAGCCAATATATTTGCACAGATCTTTAAAAACCTTCTGTTATACAAAATGCTTTGCATAATGGTTAATATTTTGAGCCAATAATCATCATTGTTTTATCTGCCCTGAAACTTGGAATCTGTGAGCTCTGTGATACACAAACTGAAACACCGTCTAGTATATTTTCACTGTGACTTTTAACAAGTACCTCTGGGCCATCACCTTAAATGTTTTATACTTACAATATAACAGAGTATTATGGATCACAACAAATACTGGTACCTCTCAACAGCCACAGCACACTAGATTCACAAGCTACTGGGCCTTGTCTTAAGTCTGGCCTTTTTTACTGTCAGTATGGCTTCACATATAAGAACAAATTGAACATATGGACTGACTGCAAAAAATACTTGAGATCTGGATGTTTAGTTATGAATATTGGAATCTTTCCAATATTGATGGTGTTCAATTGGTGGTGTTCTCTTCGATCCTTCCTGTCGAAGGTAGGGGCCCGGACAGAGACAGCTGCATCCTGGAGGTGAATGCCTGGCTGAGAGGATGGTGTCGCCAGGAGGGCTTTGGCTTCCTCGACCACGGGAGGCTATTCCAGGAAGGACTGCTGGGCAGAGATAGTGTTCACCTTTCGAGGAGGCGGAAGACCCTATTTGGACACAGACTGGCTAACCCAGTGAAGAGGGATTTAAACTAGATTCGACGGGGACAGGTGAGCAAAGCCCACAGGTAAGTGGAGAACATGGAGACCTGGGAGATAGGTTGGAAATGGGAGGGATCATGGGCTAATGGCAGAGAGAATGAAGGGTCAGGGCAAAACTGGGAGGCAAAGTCAAATCAGTATCTTAGATGCCGATACACAAATGTGAGAAGTATGGGTAATAAGCAGGAAGAACTGGAAGTGTTAATAAATAAGTACAATTATGACATTGTTGGCATCACAGAAACTTGGTGGGATAATACACATGATTGGAATGTTTGTATGGAAGGGTACAGCTTGCTCAGGAAGGATAGACAGGGAAAAAAGGGAGGAGGTGTTGCCTTATACATTAAAAATGAACACACTTGGAGTGAGGTGGAGATGGACATAGGAGATGGAAGTGTTGAGAGTCTCTGGGTTAGGCTAAAAGGGGTTAAAAACAATGGTGATGTCATGCTAGGGGTCTATTACAGGCCACCTACCCAGGTGGAAGAAGTGGATAAGGCTTTTTTTAAACAACTAGCAATATCATCGAAAGCCCAAGATTTGGTGGTGATGGGGGACTTCAACTATCCAGACATATGTTGGGAAACTAACACAGCGGGGCACAGACTATCCAATAAGTTCTTGGACTGCATTGGAGACAACTTTTTATTTCAGAAGGTTGAAAAAGCTACCGGGGGGAAGCTTTTTTAGATTTGATCCTAACAAATAGGGAGGAACTGGTTGAGAATTTGAAAGTGGAAGGCAGCTTGGGTGAAAGTGATCATGAAATCCTAGAGTTCACACTTCTAAGGAAGGGTAGAAGGGAGAACAGCAAAACAGAGACAATGTATTTCGGGAAGGCGGATTCCGTTAAGCTCAGTCTTGAAGCAAAAGCAAGCCTCTCTGTGGTTAGGCAACTAACAAAAGCTTTATTGATCAATAAGGCACAGAGTGAGCCAAACGTGGTCTCAGCAGAGCCGGGCCCAGTAAGACTCCTAATACACATCAATCCTAGTATCTTTATACCCTTAATGAAACAAGTCTGACGTCAGGGCATCCAATTACAGAAATCATCAATTAAACTTAGAAAAACAAAGCCTTATCAGCAAGATGGTGGGCAGGTACTAGGGAGTGAATCTTCCTTCTCAAAGTAACTAAGGAAATCATCTGTAAACACTTGGAAGGTGGCAAGGCGATAGGGAACAGCCAGCATGGATTTGTAAAGAATAAATCATGTCATACTAATCTGATAGCTTTCTTTGATAGGATAAGGAGTCTTGTGGATAAGGGAGAAGCGGTGGATGTGGTATACCTAGACTTTAGTAAGGTGTTTGATATGGTCTCTCATGATATTCTTATCAATAAACTAGGCAAATACAACTTAGAAGGGGCTACTATAAGCTGGGTGCATAACTGGCTAGATAACCAAACTCAGAGAGTAGTTATTAATGGTTCACAATCCTGCTGGAAAGGTATAACAAGTGGAGTTGCTCAGGGGTCTGTTTTGGGACCGGCTCTGTTCAATATCTTCATCAATGATGTAGATATTGGCATAGAAAGTATGCTTATTAAGTTTGCAGATGATACCAAGCTGGGAGGGGTTGCAACTGCTCTGGAGGATAGGGTCATAATTCAAAATGATCTGGACAAATAGGAGAAATGATCTGAGGTAAATAGGATGAAGTTTAATAAAGACAAATGTAAAGTGCTTCACTTTGGAAGGAACAATCAGTTTCACACATACAGAATGGGAAGCGACTGTCTAGGAAGGGGTATGGCAGAAAGGGATATACGGGTTATAGTGGACCACAAGATGAATATGAGTCAGCAGTGTGATGTTGTTGCCAAAAAAGCCTCAATTGGAGTACTGTGTTCTGGGCACCGCATTTCAAGAAAGATGTGGAGAAATTGGAGAGGGTCCAGAGAAGAGCAACAAGAATGATTAAAAGTCTAGAGAACATGACCTATGAAGGAAGGCTGAAAGAATTGGGTTTGTTTAGTTTAGAAGAGAGAAGATTGAGGGGGAACATGATAGCAGTTTTCAGGTATCTAAAAGGGTGTCATAAGGAGGAGGAAGCAAACTTGTTCAAGAAGCAATGGGCTTAACTGCAGCAAGGGAGGTTTAGGTTGGACATTAGGAAAAAGTTCCTAACTGTCAGGGTAGTAAAACACTGGAATAAATTGCCCAGGGAGGTTGTGGAATCCCCATCTCTGGAGATATTTAAGAGTAGGTTAGATAAATGTCTATCAGGGATGGTCTAGACAGTATTTGGTCCTGCCATGGGGGCAGAGGACTGGACTTGATGACCTCTCAAGGTTCCTTCCTTTCCTAGTATTCTATAATTCTACGATTTATCAGCTCTGTATAGCTTCTGTTACTGAAATGTTACACTTAACATTTCTTGAAAAGAAAAATAAAATAGTTTCACAAATTACAGTTTAAAATTAGTTTTCTGTGGAGAAATGAGAAAGGAACAGGAGACTGCTCTGCCTTTCATATTATACAATGACTATTTTGCATGGGCCTGATTCTGCAAGGTTCAGGGTGCTATTAGTTCTGCAGCTTGCAGAATCAAATGTTAAGAAAATCTTCATCAATGGAGCTTTGCCAATCTACACCTATTGAGGATCTGGTCCTTTAACTTTAGTCAGTTCTGTGAATAATACTTTGCTTTTTTTAAAAAACTCCAACAGCTTTTGTGTACTATAAGAAGTTACCTAATTTCTGAGAAGAATTTCATAAACTACAACTAGTTTTGGATAGCTCATATTTCAGACTTCTTAAACTGGGGATAATACAGTTTTGTGAGGCTAGCTACTAGAGTGATCACAGGAAATCTTGATACTAAGCCCTATAACACTGGTGGCAAAAGATCAAGTGCAGAAGGATCTTTGAACACAGATTAAAACATAATTGTGTGTGTCAGCTATAGTTAGTTAAAGTGAAAAAGATTACCAAATAGTGGCTTTAAAAAGCAATCAATAAGGAGGCTAAATCTCAGAGATAATTTAGTTTGAGGTTTAAAATAATCAATAGTTCCAGAGGTCAAGTTTTTCTGGAATTTAAAAACAATTTATGGGTGAAAAGTGGCATTTGATATTGTTTGATATAATATTATGAGATTTCAGTAATGTTTATATTTATATTATTGTGATAATGTTAATCATTCAGATCCAATTAAATGCAAAGAAAAACAGCCCAACAGATCCAAATGAAAGAATCTGTAAAATGGAAATCTCACATGCAGTTAGTGAACTGAGTTTAGTCAATAGTGGATGATGATTTCATAGCTCAAATGAAATTCCCGACCAATTTGCTCGATTATTAAGAAAGCTAGATATGAAAAGCCATATTGATTCCACCATGTTAGAAATATAAACTAGTGTCTTTTATCTATCATATCTGATTGATACTGTGTTTGAATACAGGGCATTCACAAAAAGCACAACTCAATATGATGGTCACTATCTTGTCAACTGTTATCAATTACATCTGCTGCAGTGATGGGTATTTTTTCGGAGACATTTTGTAACACTGATCTTGAGTTCAGAGCTAGGTACACTTATATAGTAATAAGATATTATTCCAAGAGACCACATTGATGGAAGATATACTAGTGGCAGTCCATGGGCTGGAAGGTGAGAAACCTTATGCTGCATATGAATAAGTTTTACAACTAAGGGAGAAATAGTAGTAATAAAAAATAAAGACAAAGATAAGACTGTCTAAATTATATTCAAACTCCATGTTCAGCTTGTTTTTTGGTTTACTGTTTCTTGACTCAAATATTGGCATATTACATTGGGTAAAACCATCAAATGAGCAAAAAAATACATCTGATTATTAGGGTTTCTATACATGTCTACAGACATACAAGAGCAGTCCTCTGAACAAAGTTCTTCCTAATATGTATTGCTCTCATTAAGGATATTAAGAAACTGGGGTTTAATTAGTCAAGTAGTTGATAGAATTTTTATTGTCTAAATGATTAGTCGATAGTCAACGAATTCAGTCCTGGCTCACTCCGGACCCGGGACCAAACCCTGCTCTAGCTACTAGAGTGATCACAGGAAATCTTGATACTAAGCCCTATAACACTGGTGGCAAAAGATCAAGTGCAGAAGGATCTTTGAACACAGATTAAAACATAATTGTGTGTGTCAGCTATAGTTAGTTAAAGTGAAAAAGATTACCAAATAGTGGCTTTAAAAAGCAATCAATAAGGAGGCTAAATCTCAGAGATAATTTAGTTTGAGGTTTAAAATAATCAATAGTTCCAGAGGTCAAGTTTTTCTGGAATTTAAAAACAATTTATGGGTGAAAAGTGGCATTTGATATTGTTTGATATAATATTATGAGATTTCAGTAATGTTTATATTTATATTATTGTGATAATGTTAATCATTCAGATCCAATTAAATGCAAAGAAAAACAGCCCAACAGATCCAAATGAAAGAATCTGTAAAATGGAAATCTCACATGCAGTTAGTGAACTGAGTTTAGTCAATAGTGGATGATGATTTCATAGCTCAAATGAAATTCCCGACCAATTTGCTCGATTATTAAGAAAGCTAGATATGAAAAGCCATATTGATTCCACCATGTTAGAAATATAAACTAGTGTCTTTTATCTATCATATCTGATTGATACTGTGTTTGAATACAGGGCATTCACAAAAAGCACAACTCAATATGATGGTCACTATCTTGTCAACTGTTATCAATTACATCTGCTGCAGTGATGGGTATTTTTTCGGAGACATTTTGTAACACTGATCTTGAGTTCAGAGCTAGGTACACTTATATAGTAATAAGATATTATTCCAAGAGACCACATTGATGGAAGATATACTAGTGGCAGTCCATGGGCTGGAAGGTGAGAAACCTTATGCTGCATATGAATAAGTTTTACAACTAAGGGAGAAATAGTAGTAATAAAAAATAAAGACAAAGATAAGACTGTCTAAATTATATTCAAACTCCATGTTCAGCTTGTTTTTTGGTTTACTGTTTCTTGACTCAAATATTGGCATATTACATTGGGTAAAACCATCAAATGAGCAAAAAAATACATCTGATTATTAGGGTTTCTATACATGTCTACAGACATACAAGAGCAGTCCTCTGAACAAAGTTCTTCCTAATATGTATTGCTCTCATTAAGGATATTAAGAAACTGGGGTTTAATTAGTCAAGTAGTTGATAGAATTTTTATTGTCTAAATGATTAGTCGATAGTCAACGAATTCAGTCCTGGCTCACTCCGGACCCGGGACCAAACCCTGCTCTGACTCTGCAATTTAAAACACAGTAGGAGCCCCCCGACCACAGCTCCTATTGCATTTTAAATTGCAGAGCCATAGCAGGGTTTGGTATCAGACCCAGTGCAAGCCAGGACTGAGTCAGGCTGTCTGCCCAGTCGGCAGCAACCCCTATCCGTGGAGGGACCCAGCAGGAAGTTGGAACCCCCCTGTGAACAGGGGCTGCTTTGTGGTAGCAGCCCCTGTCCCCCCAACTCCCAAGGAGGGGGGGCAGGCAGAACCATGGAGATGGTGCTAAGGAAACCAGCTTTTAAGCTGGCTCCCCACCAGCAATGGCTCCTGCTCCTCACCCCGCTTGCTGCCTCTGATACACAGGCAGCATGGGGCAGAGGGAATGTGAGTAATCAACTACTCCCTTACATCCCTAGATCTCATCTTGCTTAACTACATCCCATAACTATGTGAAAGTAGCTACACTTTTTGTAGTTAAGGTATTTGCTGTGTTTACATTCTGATTCGTGTTTATTTCAGGATTTTCTCATTTTTTATCCTAAGCCAAATAAACTTTACTTTTCTGATAACTAGAGTGGATATTGAGCTTTAAAATAAACTGAAATGAAACGCCGTTGGGTACTTTAGAAAAAAAGAAACTGAGTTCTGACCTCGGTTACACATTCGCACTTTAACTGAAATAAATGTGACATTGTATCAGCTATTAGGACTCTTTGCCAGACAACCCCACTATTATAAATTCACATGAGGGAGTATGCAAGGTTTGGGAGTCTTTCCGAAAGGCCAGATCTAATGCCAACTGAAGTAGGGCAAAAGACTCCCATTAACCTTAATAGACACTGGATCAGGCTCCCAGGCAGTAAGACAAATTCTCTCCTGATGTAAGTGAGCACAACTCAGTTGGCTTCAGTTGGGGTTCTGTTCATTCACACCAGCAGAGATTTTGGCACAGCACGTCTATTATCTATGTTAGGAACAACAGGAACGTTATAGGAGTAAAACAATATGAGTTAAAAATATATATACTAACCCCATATTTTCTTTCCTTCATATTTTTCTCTATTAGAAAAAAAGAAACAAATTTATGTAAACTGGGTAATAACATTTCTTACGAAGACAATGGAAAACACAAAAATATTAACTTAGTAATAAATGTAATACTCTTAATAAGAAAAATAATCTTAACAATTTATACTGTAAATAATTCAATAGAAGCTTGGTAATGTTCATTATACGTGACATTTTTACAAACAGAATATATGAACAGAGCAAGTACATTTTTCAGACTTCCATGTGTGGCTTTTCATAGTGAGAAAACAATTGTTTCAAAATTAAGTAAAATTGATTTTTTAAATTGCAATTGCAGCTTGGAAGTTATATTTTTTAGTCACATACAATAATTAGTAAACTCTAAGGCTATGTCTACACATGCCCCCTAGGTCGGACTAAGGAGGCAAATGAAGCATACCGAAGTTGCTAATGAAGCTTGATTAGCATTTTCGCAGCTGGTCGCCATTTTAAAATGCCGGTCGCCCGATTTAACTTGCCGCGTGTAGACAAGTTAAATTGGGCGAACAACATTTTAAAATGGCGACCAGCCACGAATATGCTAATCAAGCACGGGATATTTAAATCCTGCACTTCATTAGCAACGTCAGTATGCTTCATTTGCCTCCCTAGTCCGAACTAGGGGGCAAGTATAGACATACTCTCAGATATTTAGGTTCTATACCAAATAAGCGGCATTAACTATATACAAAAACTTAAACAAGGTAAGGGTTTTGGAAATAATTGAAGGTTGTAAACCAGATTAGAATTTTTTTTAAATAGAAAACAAAAAATGAAACAAAATATGAGTATGTACTAAAGCTACCTCTCTATTAAATAGAAACTGACACACAAATTTATTGTTTAATTTTTGTAGAAAGTCTTATTGTAAAAACCAGCTCTGAATAATATTTGCTCTGATGCAGTCTGTATGCTTAGGTGTTTTAATGTATCTACATAGGAAACTATTTATAATATTTGAATTTATTTCAGATCATCCTAGTGTTTGAAGTTTGATTGCCTTTTACTTATCATTTCATAGAGAGAAGTGAAACACTTCTTTAATTGGCAGTTTAACATTTGGTATCATTGTTTGGACACTTAAGCCAGTGCAAAGGTATATGAAATTAAAAACGAGTTCTAAATAAGAAAATGGTATTTTGTATGGACTGAAAACAAATCATTAAAAAATGTTTCAGTCAACAGGGAACAAGTAATAATATTTCATTTAACTAGTAAGATGAGGAGAGCTAAGAAATATACAACAATGTAGGAATGCCATTATTCATACATAGCTCAAATGGAAAAAAATCATGAACAATGCAAGTCAGCATCACACAACTCTAAAGCTTACTGAAACCATGAAACTAGAAGTAAATCTATCACTAATTCAGGTGATATCAAACTATCAAACAGCCCCAAAGCAGTATCCTGCTCCAAATCAAGGCTGCTCTGGGTATGCTACCTTTACAGCTTGCTTTACAGACTGGGCATAAATAAGAAGTGCAGACAAGCAAACGTAATTCAGCTCGATCATTTAGTTCACAGAGCTTGATCCTGCAAGATATTGAGTACTGTGGCTTGATTCTAGCAAAGCACTTATGCATCTGACTAGCTTTAAACATGTGAGTATTCTCACTGACTTGTTTACATTCTTTGCTGGACTGGACTTCTTGTTGCTCAGGGCCCAAAGTGGTTTCACTGCCTCTGCAGATCTCTGAGCATGTTTTCTCAAAGAGAGTTTTGCTGACATATGTGGGGTTCCTGCCATTGCCGATAAAGAAATGTTTATGTGAAAGTGTAATGGACGTCAGCATTTCTCATGTTAAAGTGCAGTATCTTGAAGATAAAGCTGAAGCACAGCAGGGTTATGTACTTTGAAATCCTGGTTTGCAAACTAAACAAAACTGTAACAGATTGTCATTATGAAAGGAAATGCTATTTCTGCTTACTTTAGTAGCATGTGGTCCATAGTTCACCATGTAGATATACACGTGTGCACAGTGTACTACTGACAACAGCAGTGCTGGATACTTAAGGCCCTTTGCTTTCAGTTTAGTCCAATTTTTACTGAAACATTCACAGGTTTTACAAAAAGTATTCTTTTTGTCCCCTGATTTTCACCCTACTTTTGTATCATTCAAGTATATAAAACATAACTTGTGTTATTAGGAAAATACAATACAATGCATGAGATATGTATTATGATAATACATTAGCCTGTGGGTATCTGCAAAGCTGCCTTTTGAAGTAAGACTAGGTATTAGTCTGGACCAGGGGCAGGCAAAATACAGCCCATGGGCTGCATCCAACCTGCCCTAGCAGTGGATCTGATTCCCAGGCTACCCCACTGGGACCCTCAGGCACAGAGCAGCCCCACACCATGTTAAGTGGCTGTCTGCTCCCTGTGGCTCTCTGCTCTAGGCGCCAGGGGAGTCTTTATGCACTGCCCCCACCCTTTCCTCTAGCAAAACCTCTCAGCTTGGAAACCAGCCATTTTGAGCTTGGAAACCAGTCAATGGGAGCTGAGAGATTTTGCTGGGGGAGAGGGGCGGGGGCAATGCATAAAGCCTCCCCCTTCCTTCAGAGAAGAGAGCCACAGGGAGCAGCCAGCCATTTTGAGCAGCCTGGGGATGGGGCAGGCAGTCAGCCTGCCTCAGGATCCTGTAGGGCTGCGGGCTGAGAGCATTTTGCAGCCAGAGCCTGCACCCCAACCCCTTTCTCCCGCAACTACCTACCCCAGATCACCAGCCAATCCCTCTGCACTGCCTTTCCCCCGGTCACAACTCCCTCCCAGACCTTCAGAATCCTCTCCTGCACCCATACCTCCTCCCCAACCCTGCACACCATTCTCCTGCCCCGGATCATCACTCAAACCTTCTGTACCCCTCCTCCATCTGGTCACAACTCCCTCCCACATTATGCACCCCCTTTTATACCCCTTCCCCAGGCAATACTACTCTCCTGCACTCATACCACCTCCTGGACTCTGCACTCCAGTTGCCTGACCTAGGTCACAACTCCCTCTTTTACCCTAACTCCCTCTCAGACCCCACACCCTCTCCTGCACCCCAGTCCCATACCCTAAGCTCCCTTCTGCACCCAATCTCCGTCCCAGACCCCACAACCCCTCCATAGAAAAGTGTGGCCCTTGACCACTTACCAAAATCTTGTACCAAAAACAGGCAAAAAGGAGTTATGTTGCAGCAAATTATGTGGCCCCCGTTATTAAACGTAAATATTTAGAGGATAATAGTTTTAAGTCTACAACAGTAAAGTGTATGTTAAAATTAAAAGTTTTATTTGGGGATCAGTCACATTGTTTTCTTAAAATCAGAGCTGGCATTGTGTTTTAAATTCTGTTTTAGTTCTGGAGCAAACCACCTTGATGAACAGAACTCAAAGCATTAATCTACTGAATATTCCCCCCACCCTTCCCTTATTTTTCTGTCCATCAAAAAATGTATTAATATTTTAACATATTACTCAAATAATACTTGCTTAAAGCAAAAAGATATGAGATAGCTTCAGTGCTTAATTAAAGGATTAAAGGTATCTGGTTATTTACACATGGGTTAATCCTTTGAGAAAAATACACCGTTCAAGCATTTGCTTGGATTGTCCATGAAACATTCAATACCAAGCTGGTCAAAAGTGTTATGGGTTTATTCTCATTCCAAAGCATGAAAATTCCTATCCCCATTAGCATTAATCTGAACAGTCAACTCTAGCTAAATAAGACTAATCCCACCGGGGGGGGGGGAATGGCTCTGCTTTCGGACCAATGTGCAAAATTTCTAGAATCCCTGGGCCAACTATTAAAATCAGAAACAGCTGTCATGTTCCTACACTCTTACAGCAACTCTCAAACATATTTAAGGCTGAAACAAATTCTTAGGGTGCTTCTACACAGCAGCATTATTTTGGAATAATGGCCAATATTCCAAAATAACAATGCAAGCATCTACACAGCAATTCCATTATTTTGAAATAAATTCAAAATAACAGATGGCTTATTCCAACTTCTGTAAACCTCATTCCGTGAAGAATAACGACTATTCTGAAATAGCTATATTGGAATAGCAGTAGTATGGATACTCCACTGCTGCTATTTTGAGATAGCTCCTCCCCATGGCCATTCAAAGTAATTACTCCCCAGTGCCTCCTGGGGCTCTAAATTGAGGTAGCATGTCCACATTAGGGAAGCCTACCTTGGACTAGTTTTGAAGCTTCGCTGTAGTGTAGACATGCTATTTCAAAACAAGCTATTTTGGAGTATTTCTTCCAGAATAGCTTATTCCAAAATAAGTGTGCAGTGTAGACGTACTCTTGGTGAAAATGTATCAAAGGAAGAAGGGAAGGTATTTGGAAACAAGTGTTCACATGCTCTCACATTTTAAATGGGCAGCTCTTCTTAAAAGAATAATATTTGAAGTTACTGAAAATTAATTGATTTTTATAGATATGAAGTGACAATAATTTCTCCCCTAAAATATGAATTAATTTGAATAGGTAAAAATAGTTTTTTGTTGACTATGAAACAACTATTGGATGTACAAATGCTGGGGCAGAGGACTCTGATGTGAAAACATTACTATAATTAAATAAAGTTACTATAACATTAAGATTGCACTGATTGCACAAGACAAAAGTAATACCACACAAATATGAGTGAGTTGGCAGTGCTGTGGAAACCTTTTTGAAAATTTAACTACAAAACCTTAATGTTATCTAACTCTCTCTCTCTTTTTTTTTTCTTTTTTTTTTTTGCAATTTAATTTCTTAATTTTGTAGCCAAGGAGAAATTGTGTTCAGCCCTATTTCTTCTAGGCTTTAACCATGATTCCTGAAACAGAGCTGAACATAGTTTCCCTGGCTCACTTGCAGCTAAATTGTGTTACTGGTTTAGTAACACTGGTGCCAGTTACAGGTAATTTTCATATTGTTGACAAAGGTGCACAACTTTAATTGCTCTAATAATACATATGCAAGGAGTCAATTGCAAGGCAGACTTAATGCCTGCACTCAGTAAGACTGGGGCCCAACAGGCATAATAAGCACTTCTTCCCCTGCCAGGATCAGGATACGTCTAGACTGCGATGGTTTTCCAGATACCAGAGGTCCAGGGAACACTTTTGTGGAAAAACTCCATCCTGTCCAGAGAACACGTCTGCTCTTCTGTCATTTTTTGTGGAAGATTAGATGGGCTCTTTCAGAAACCCTGTCTTCCTTGTTCCACGAGGAAGAAGGGATCTTCTGAAAAGGTTTTTTCCCAAAATTTGGCCCAGTGTAAATGGGCCAAATTTTGGAAAAGCCTCTTCCAGGGGGGAAAAAAACGGAAAAAGGTGTAGTCTAGACATACCCTCAGAAAGCTGAGGAGGTCAGATTAATGACTTGCTTCCTGAGAACTGCTCTCCAATCCTTTATTTAAATTTCTTGGAGTCTCAAGGCCCAAATGCACTTTGAGTTGCAAAGATGGAATGACTACAAAAACACAACATGGCGGGGGCGGGGGAGAGGAGTTATGGGGAGAGCTTTCAGGTTAAGAGACAGCAGATAAATAACTTTTTATGAAAAACACCTACTGCTCGAATTACATATGCAAACACAGGGCTTTACTTCTAAAGCAGGGGTGGAGAATCCAAGGACTGGGGGCTGCATGCCCCTGGTTTGCCTGGATCTGGCCCCCAAGGCTTCAGGTTTCCCTCAGCATTGGGGAGACCCTCAGCATTGCTCCAGAACCCCACTGTCCCTCCATGATGCTGAAGCATACAAAATCTAACTAGCCTGACCCCCCTAGGTTCTGGTGTGTGAGCGCAATGTGGGGAATTTCTTTCTCCTCAGTCAGGGGCCACATCAGCAAGAGGGTTTGGTTTTTTTTAGTGTTGTTTTTTTTCTTATCACTTGTGTCTGGCCCTCAACTGATTTTTCAGTGGGGCAGCGGCCCCCCGACCCAAAAAAGTTTCTTCACCCCTGTCCTAAAGGAAACTATATTTTCTGAGATTTTCCACTGTACAAGCTCAAGTACTTAATTTTCAAACTTTAATTTTTTCATGTTTAATAAAACACTCATTTAGTACTATTTACATGCCAAGATTCAACATTCATGTGTTTATATTTCTCTTTTTTTATATGAAAGAGCAATTTTGTTTGTTTTAAAAATTTCACCTAAATAACTGAAAATAAGTTGTTCAAGTTGTCTTTAGAAAACTATCTTTAGTCAGAAAGAAAGATAATCTGGAAAGGTGACATTTTCAGAAAGTTACAAGGCATGTGGAAAAAAAGGGTCATGACAAATGAACCTGCAATCTTTGTTATTGTGTCTGATTCAGTCAATGCTATATGAATAGTAAAAACAAAACAACAACAACAAAAACAGGATTACAATTAGATTAGTTAAATATTACTGGTTTAGGAGTGCATATTCTTTAAGCAGATTTCAATATAATTTGTAAAGTTGGGGTGTCTGAATTTCATGCTTCTCTAAACACCCTTTTGTTTTGTGAAATCTTTTCAGATCCATTTGCAGCTAATATATGACTGTGACAAAGTAAGTGATATTTTCCTTATTTGGTGATTACATTTAATTTGGCAACAAGAGGTAATTATGATTAAGAACAAAAATGTAATCTTTCATCCTAATACCAATCTAAGGGTTGCTACAGCAGTTGATGATGTACATTATTGTAATGAACTAGCTAAATTATGTAAAAATTGTCTAAAACATTATAAAACTATGTCCTTTAATTTTCCCTATGGACTCCAAACTTTGCAATATACTAATATGCAAAATAATGAACTATTCTGAACTTACTAACATATTTATAATACCTAAACACAAGCTGTTGCAATTAGAGCCAGAACCCTCACACATACATCTTGGGGAGAGGGAAGGATTGCTCAGATTCCCGATTATTTTAGTTCAGGTGTGTGGTTAGGTTAGGGTACCACACTCATCTATAGCGGATGTACTCGGGATGTTCTGGGCTAGGTAATAAAAACAAAAAGAAGCTATCAATTTAAATCCTCAGAAAGATTCTCTCTCTGATTTGCACAGTACAGGTTAGCTGCGATTTGAACTATCTTCGTTATTAATCTGTAGCTCCCTTCCTTCGCATCCTGTTTTATGTTTCTATTCATTTTTCCTGCGGATTGTGTTGTATTAGTTCCGAAAGGGACTGGTCACGGAAAGAAAGTTTAGCCCCGCCACTCCAAATGGAACAGCTGCCATGGCACTGAGACAAGACCCCCAGTCTAGCGAGCTTCACTCCAACACCAGCCTTCCGTGGGAGCCCGGCTCGGTGCCCCCAAGTTGCACCCAGTTTTATGTTTCTATTCATTTTTCCTGCGGATTGTGTTGTATTAGTTCCGAAAGGGACTGGTCACGGAAAGAAAGTTTAGCCCCGCCACTCCAAATGGAACAGCTGCCATGGCACTGAGACAAGACCCCCAGTCTAGCGAGCTTCACTCCAACACCAGCCTTCCGTGGGAGCCCGGCTCGGTGCCCCCAAGTTGCACCCAGAGCTGTCCCAC